GAATGTGGTTTTTGTTCAGAAACTCCATTCCTTCCAAAATCGAATGTTAAATCAAATGAAGATTCAAAGACATTCGTCAAGTCTCTGATGGTATTATCGAACATTCCAACGAGATGTTTCATACAAACATTTGTTTGAAAATCTACCAGTGTATATCCTACTTAAAAGAGAACAATGAAGTAACCTTTTTATACCATAGTTCTCTTTAGGGTCATGGGTAGGAATATACTAAACTACTCCCGTGACCCAAAGTTCAGTATATCGTGGGATATTGCCCACGATATACTGAGAGCGCCACAGCCGGGACAGATCCCGACAATACTATTGAGATACACGATCCAGGTGGCTGACTGACAGCGGGCTCTGCCTATCTAGAGGCAGAGCCAGATGTGCCCGCCCTCTCCCCCATCCGTTCCTCCACTCAGCGCTGGAGATGATCGGAAAGTGAGCAAGCGACAGTATGTATTCGCTCACTTCCCGATCAATAGAGCCAACCTGTAAGCTCTCTTTAGGGTCACAGGAGAACATATACTTACCTCCTCCCGTGACCCAAAGCTCAGTATATAGCAGGCTATTGCACTTCCCGATCTATGGAGTCGACGTGTGACAGTTTAATCAGCTCTAACTATAGGGATGATTGTAAATCACTCACCTCATAGTTCTCCTTTAACTCTCTCAATTAGTCCAACTAATCCAATTTGCGCTGATTTGCATTATGACCGTCGTGATTGTGTGTTGCTACAATCATCCAATGTTTTTTGGATCATAACTGTATGATGCTCCTGCAGTGCAAGATCAGTCATGGGGCAATCCAAACATGACTGGGGAGATGGATGATCACACTGCAATTCAATGGGAAAGAGGTTTGAGCAGTTAGCTGAAGGAATTTCCATCTCAGCTGAAGACTGAGCTAAATTACCAGGGTAAGATAGGCTTTGATGTTCCATAAAGAGTAGCGATAAGAAAAAGTGTTATGGAGTATAATTCTGTAAAGCGCTGCACAAATCCTGTATAATAATAATAATAGGTGAAAGACACTAAACCCCAACTTAAGCCAAAACTTTTTTTTTTTCATTGTAAAAGGGTTAAAGCATATCTAACTCCAAAAACAAAAAAGTAAGATGTTGCCGCTTTCCAGTCTTCGTGGTGGCTGCATTCATTTTCTTCTTTCAGGCTAAGAACATTTTCAGCAAATGCAGAATAAAACCGCTGATCTGACCAGACTGAACCAGACAGCACAGCACAGGAATAGTCTTAGGTAAAATACTTGTTCCGCCAATATACTGTGTAATGGAGATGAACAAAGGCAGACATTTTTGAAGTCCACCCTGTGTAATAATCATGGCTCTTTTCATAGATACAGTGGATAAATTAGTGTAGCTTTGAAGGGATAGACACTGTGTAATTCACAGTAACACTAGATGAAAAAAGGGAAGAAAGTCTAAAAAAAAATGTTAAATTATTGTACTTTTCCTTTTGCTGGGACTGTGCTGGGCCCCCTAGAGGCCGGAGGCCCTGGTGCGTCCGCACCGCCTGCACCGGCGGTAGTTCCGCCACTGGTTATCTTGTTCTGCAACCTAATAAAGGGGGATTTCTGACCCCCAAACCCCGTTGGCTTCTGACCTGTTGTTACGTACAATAAAGAATTACTGGACTTTGGTCAGACTTCTGGCACTCTCATCCTTCTTTACATTCTTCAGATTACTCTGGGGACCTCCAAGGTTACCCCTTCTGACAGAGTGTTGCCTCTTTAACTTGAATGTCAGGCCTCTTCTTTTCCTCATTTTGGGTCCAAAGCTCTACTAACCCTTTGTTAAACGACCTGACTTTGAGAGAACCCGCAGTTATGGTGAATGTACGGAACTGCAGCACTCTTTTATCTGATTCTATTATGTGCACACAGGTGCTGGGAGACAGTAATTTGTTATCAGCGTCTTTATAGGGAAGCGACTATCATATCTCACTGGACCTCTCAGCTCCAAATCTCAGCTCTGACAGTCAGCCTCAATATAAGTATAGTTCAGATATAGCTCAGTAAATCCAACAAAGGTTAAACCTAAATCTTTTAAAACTAATCTGCACAGCAATTATCATTTAAGACTGAATATTCAATTTCTGGCTTAAGCCCAGTCATGCCTGATTCTATTTAAAGTAAAAGTTCTACCTTTTTGGACCTTCCAGGAGAATCTGATATTAAAAAACAGCAATGACGTAATCATAAATTGCCTGAATGATATAGCCTGGTTCTCAGCCGGGGTTCTGTGCAACCAAAGGGTTTCTCCAGAGGTTTCCTAGGGGTTCCTTCCCGGATTGACCTCCTGTCGGATAGTGCCTGCATAGTTCTGGGCCCAGTGTCACTTGGCATAGCAAGCAGCATGACACCACTGACCTTTTTAGTAGGGCTGGTAATGATTAACATTTTTGTGTTCGATTAATCGAAATTTTTTTTTTTTTTTGAAAAATCTTTTTATTCATTTTGCATATTACGGGTACAAAACAAGACACCAACATAGTGCCCGAACATTAACATTTGTTCATACATTATGGCATAACATATGCCAATTACTTCTTACATAAAACGCCATAAAAACCACCAGCCCTCATTGGACTCCCCCCACCCCTTAGATGCCCTCCCGCGCACCCCCTCCCTCCGACCACTCCCAACAAAATACATCTCACCCCTTCTGCAACCTGTTCGTATTCATAATGGATTTCCTCCCCTGTGTCAGGTACAATTCTGAAAACAAATGTGGGTGCACTCTGGATTCGCCCCCCCCGCCCCTGCCCGGATGCTCCTGTGGATGACTGGACGGATGAGAGGAGCTGCAGTTAAGCACGTCCGTTCAGTCTCACATCTCGGCCACCGAAATTTTTTTTAATTGATTAATTTCGATGCCAATGTAGTTGGATCTGTATGTGCATTATAATTAATCGAAATTAATCAATTAAAAAAAATTTCGATTAATTATAATGCACATACAGATCCAACTACATTGGCCTATACACATACAGCACAGCAATGAAGTAATAAAATTAACTAGGATCACACTAATCCAGCACGTTATTAATCTCACGTGGGGCAACTCAGAATAATAACGTGCTGGATTAGTGTGATCCTAGTTCATTGTATGACTTCATTGCTGTGCTGTATGTGTATAGGCCAATGCCTTGGCTGGCGCTCGTGCAGAGAGTTTTTAAAAAAAATTAATCGATCAAAAAATTTTTAATCGATCAAGAAGATTATCGATTAATCGAGAAATTAATCGTTAATTTGCACAGCCCTACTTTTTAGCTGTCTATAAGGGCTGCAATCTTCCCACTGGACACCACTGTTAGTGAAACATTCTTACCACTGACCACTGAGGGTGCATTCATTCTTTCCTCTGGCCACCGATGGAAAGTTCATACTTCCTCTAAATAAAGATAGATGTACAGGGGCTTCTCTCTTACTAACTCATAATGTAAAGGGATACTAATCTCAGGAGTTAAATCTTAAAAATGCATTTAAGTACCCTAACTATTCGCAAAAATGTATCTTATTTGTGCATTACTCAGTTCTAGATCCACAAATCGTCTCTGAATTGGTGCTGACACTGTACTTCCTTCTGGAGGGTGGCTACTTTTGCCCCATGGTCCCTGTGTGTTGTAAAGTAATCACTGATCCAAGCTTGCTTCTCTGATGCTATTATTTCATGTTTAGTCAGCTCATTTGTATTGAAGTTATAATCTATCATGGGAGCGAGCTTGCAGCAGTGCATACTTTACAACATACGCATGGACCATGAGGAACAAAAGTAGCCACCCTCCAGAAGGAAGGACAGTGTCAGCACCAATTCAGAGATGATTTGATGATACAGCCGAGTGATACACAAATAAGATATATTTCTGCTAATAGTTCAGGTACTTGAACGCATTTTTAAGATTTAACTCCGGAGTTTAGTGACACTCTAAGGACACCCTTTTCCCACTGACCACCAATATAAGAAGACACTTCTACCACTGGCCATCAATGTAAAAAGACACCTCTACTACTGGCCACCAGTGTAAGAGGACCCCACTGCCACTGGCCACCAATGTAAAAAGACACCTCTACTACTGGCCACCAATGTAAGAGGACCCCACTGCCACTGGCCACCAATGTAAGAGGACACCTCTAACACTGGCAGACAATGTAAAGGGATTCTTTACTGAACACCGATATAACGAGGAATTTCTCCATTGTCGCCTATCAATATCAATATAGGAGGGTCTGTTTCTTTTTTGGCCATTATTATTATTTATTTTTTGTGAAATCATGATCATTTCTGAAAATTATTTTATCATATAGAGTAGGGGGTGTTGAAAAATTATCCACCTTGGGTATCAAATACTATAGGTATGCAACATTCTTTGTCTCAATATAAGCCTTTATAGGCTCTGGAATAGCCCCCGCGTCCAATGGGTAACATTCAAAGTTTGCTTGTCGTCATGCATGAACTGCAAACATGCCAAAATGTGTGTAAACAATTGAAACAATTCCATTGTGACACCAAGCAAAATCTAACATGTTTCTCAATGGGAAAAAACAGATCATTAAAGTAGAACTCCAACCAAAAACTTTTTCTTCCAGTTTTGAACAGAGTGCAGAAGGGCTAAAACATCTGTCAGGTTTTTATTGCTGCCTATGTCTTGCTGGGGACATTTACCCTCATAATATGTCCTGGTGGCCATCGTCACTAGGACAGAAAGTGATAGGATGTCCAAAATGCTGTCACTAAAGAATGAGTAGAGGGGAAACAGTGGCAAAATCTGGTATCCCCATCTATTCAAAACTAAAAAAGAAAAAATGTTGGCTGGTGTTCCAGTTTAAAAGGTTTAAACAGACTAAACAGACAAAAAAAAAGTTTTTTTACTTTAAACTATTGCAAAGTTTATTTCATTGTTTCACATAAAAATATAAATTTTCTATAAAAGATTGGTTACTTTAATATGTCAAATCATGTAAAGTAAAACTGACTCACCTCATCATTGACAGTTTTTGGTATCACCTTGAAAAATAAGCACAGAGGTAAGGCGGTCATGGCGGAGAACACCCAGATTATCACCAGCCCCAAGACCACCACCTTTACATTGCATGTGGTTGTCTGTGTCACTTTCATGATACAGATCATCCTCTCTAGGCTGACAGCAGACAATGAGATCAGGATGACAGAGCCGCTCAGGCACATGACATAGAACAGCAGGTGGCATACAAACTCGCCTAGGATCCAGTTCTCTGTCCAGCGGACCACCAAGATGAAAGGAATCATGCTGACGAAGAGCAAATCGGAGCAGAATAGGTTCAGCACAAAACAGTTGGAGGTAACCAGCCTCTTCTTTCGGATCAACAACACTATGGCGCAGACATTGGAGAACCAGGAAAATACAAAGACCAAACTTAAGAAAATGGTCTCCACCACTTTCTCCTCCAACGTTTTGTTAAACTCGGTGTAGAAAGCAAAGTGGGTATGGTTACCATACTGTTCATCCTGGTAAGAAATCAGCAGCTGCCCCATTGTCTTCAGGATTTCTTAAAATTCCATTATCAGCAAACTAATATGTTAAGACCAGATATGTCCAAAGGGTGGAATCAATCAAGAGAATGCCTCTTATGTCAAACATCAGAACCCACAAAGATCCTTCAAGAAGCCTTTGATAGCTGCAGTGAGACTCTGCAAGGTTTGATTCAGCCAGGAGCAGCAGCAGAGAACACCATCCACTTACTGATTTGAAACAAGGAAGTCACACAGCATTCTTGTAAATATACACCCATCTAAAACAAAGATGAAGGTGTTGCATTTTTATGATCCATCCACTTCTAATACCAAATAATAAAAACATTTCATTGTCTCCTGACATTGGCAATATTTGCAGAGTGCAAATAATTTTTATAAACTGCCTTGTGGTTCTGTAATAAGATTACTTAAGATAAGGTGATACTGCATTTCCTGTACTGATATTGTGTTATTTCCTGATAAATGCTGAGGGAAATTTCTATGATGACTTTTTAGATGTGGTGAAGTATCACAATGTTCTATTTGTGTTGAAGATAAAATCACCTGATTGAGTTTTTGCATTCAAAAAATTTGCAGTCAGTTTACTGACTACCTAATAAATTGTGTCTGGGCGGTCCCTGGTTGGCTGAGCAAGTGTACTGAGAGCTTTCCTGTAGAAGACTACTTTATTATAACGAATTGCCATAAACAATTATTTCTTTTTAGTAGCTTCATCTCCATATCCTGAAAGTGAAGGAGGCATGCTTAATTGTGTGCAATCTATACCAGTAGATTCCCCTCAGTAGGGATCTCTGGGATCATTAAAGTGTTTCTAAAGGCAAAAACGTTTTTTTAACGTTTTGGTTAAAGGGTTGAGACCCCTTGTTAAATCCTCTGCTGCCTAGGTCCCTGTTAGCGAGATTCACTCTATTTGTCTCTGCGACTGAATGTGAGGGAAAATCCAAAATGTTTAGTTGCCACTAGAACAGGAACAGAGAGGCTCTAGTTACCACTAATAGAGAATTTTCCTCTCACTTCCTGTTGTGTCTACACGACATGAAGTGAATGGAAATCTCTTGAATCAGACACAAATGGGGGGAAAAAAACCCCCCTGTGCCAATTCACACTATTGCATTGCTCTAACGTGGCAATGCCAATGCATATTGGATGTGCTGGTGCAATGCGGTGCAATTTATTCTCAATGGCGCCCGAGCACACATTGCTGAGGCATAACTTGCAGTGTAGCAAAATGCATGGCAACACACTGATGTGCGTTGCAGTGCCAAAAATGCTGCATGCATGATTTTTGGTCCAATGTGGCACATGGGGCAGCCAATTCAAATCAATGGGCTGCACTAATCCGATGCTTGTTAAAGCACTGTAGAGGAGCAGGCTAGTGTGAGGGGCCCTTTACTTTAATGATATATTAAAACACAAACAATTACCTGTGTCAAATTAAGAGAAGAAAAAAAAACACAAATAGGATTATTGGGAGAGCCTGAGACAGCTCGTCGGGTTTTTTTTGGTCTTTCCTGAGAATTGATTCTGAGGTTGTTATTCACTTTGTGAAACCTTACTTCACATGAAATTTAAAGGTATTTCATCATTAAAGGATCTTACATGAGTTCCAATATCTATGAATATGTGAAAACACTTATACCACTGCAGATATTTTAGCACACAGTTTTCACCTGAAAAATGAATTTGTCAGAGACAAAACAACTAACACTAAAGAAGACTTCCACTTCATCCCTAAATAGAACCTAAATCTATCTTTTATCCCAGAGTGAACTGCCTAACATATCCCTTACCCCTAACTGAACTCCTAAACCTATCCCTTACCCCTAACTGTATTCCTACACGTATCCGTTACAGCTAACCCTATCTTATACACCTAACTAAACTGCTTAACCTAGCTCTTACACCTAACTGAACCCCTAAACCCATCTTTTGCCCTAACTGAACCGCTAAACCTATATTTTACCCCAAACTGCACCCCTAAACCAATCCCTTACCCCTAACTGAACGCCTAAACCTATCTTGTACCCCTAACTGTACTCCTACACCTATCATTTACAGCTAACTCTATCTCATACCCCTAACTGAACTGCCTAAGCTATCTCTCACCCCGTACTGAGCCACTAAATCTTTTTACTCCAAACTGAACTGCTAAACCAAATTCTTACGCCTAACTGAACTGCTTAACCTAGCTCTTACACCTTACTGAACCCCTAAAGCTATCTTTTACCCCAAACTGAAATGCTAAACCTATCTTTTACCCCAAACTGAACCCCTAAACATATTCCTTACCCATAAATGAACCCCATAGCCCAAACTAAACTGCTAAACCCATTCCTTACTCCTAACTGAACCCATAACTTTATATCTTACATCCCCAAAAGTAACCCCTAAACCCTTGGTTCTCAACTGGTGGGTCGTGACCCAAAAGTGGGTCGCGACCCCATGTTCAGTGGGTTGCTGCATGCCTTCCAGTTTGGTAGGCGAGAGGCTCCCCAGTCTTCCGCCAAGCGGCCATTCAAAATGCTGCCCAAAAACGAGTGTCAGCTTGAGCTGGGGTGGGCTGGGGGTGGCCACGAGGGAGCTTCATGAATACGTGCATTGCTTACAGCTCCCTCATGGGTCCTGTAGAGGTGCCTGGACCGGAGTGACGTCACATTCTGGCTCCTGGCACCTCTACAGGGTACGCAAGGGACCTGTACAAGCAATGCACATATGGATAGAGCTCTGCCACAGCACTGCAGCCCACACTGGACCCCAAGCTGAGGATCGACTCCAGTTCTCATAAGGAATGATACTAACATTTTGGTGTGTGTGTGAAAACGTCTGTGTGTAAGATTGTGTCTCTGGTTGTGTATGTATGTCAGTGTTTTTGAGGGCTCTTTCACACATGGTACCATGCAATCTCACCTACTGTGCATTCTAGTATGGGAGGTGTGTTGCGTTGGCATTCATTTGAAGGGTACTCCAAACACACCTCCCACCCACAGTTCGTACACCCACATCGGAATGCGCAGTACCCAATGGCGTACATTCCATTTCAGTGCGATTTGGGTCGTGACTGAATGAGCAAGGACAAATGTGGGTCCTGAGGTAACACAGGTTGAGAACCACTGCCCTAAACCTATCTTGTACCCCACACTGAACTGCTAAACCTATTCCTTACCCCTTACAGCATCCCTTACCCCTCACTGAACTGCTTATTCTAGCTCTTACCCTTAACAGAACCCCTAAACCTATCCCTTGGTCTAAACTGCTTAACCTATTCCTTACCCCTAACTGAATCCGTAACCCTATTTCTTACTCCAAACTGAACTGCTAACCCATCCCTTGACCCTAACTGAACCCCTAAACATATCTTATACGCTAAAACTGAACTGCTAAACCTACCTCCTACCCTAGACTGAACTGATTAACCTATTCATTACCCCTAACTAAATGCCTCAACCCATCTCTTACCCCAAACTGAACTGAACTGCTTAACCTATCTCTAACCCCTTACTGAGCCCCTTAACCTATCCCTTACCCCAAACTAAACTTCTAAACCCATTCCTTATCCCTAACTGAATCCATAAACCTATTTTTTTTTACTCCAAACTGAACTGTTAACTCATTTCTAATGGAATCCCTTAACATATTTCTCACTCAAACTGAGCCTCAAAATCTAACTTTAAATTTTATCACAACTGTCAACTTTTAAAGCAATGGGCATAGTTTAAAAAAAAAAAAAAAGTTCACACCCTGTTTAAAAACAAACAGCATAATACTTACCATTAGATACTGGCAAGTGGTGTAATTAATCTTCACCGATTTGAAGAGCTCTGGCGACCAGAGTTATCTTGCACTCTCGGATGCACTCTGTGATTACTTCCACTGACCCAATGTCACTGCTGTGTCTTGTACTGATATTGGAAGCAGGTTCACTTTTACTTAAACCCTGAATCTCAACTTTATTCCTAAACAGAAACTTTTGCAGCAATTTAAACAGAACCTAACCCCTGATTTAAATACTGTTGTGCTTAAAAGTTTGCATATCCTTGGAGAATTGGTAATATATGTACCAGTTTTAAAGAAAACATGAGTGAGCAGGCAAGACAAATTTCTTTTATTTTTTATGGGATTCATATTGAGCTGTAGGTCATAAAAAAATGGCACAATCATAAAACAAAACATAACAAATAAAAAAAATGAAATGACCCCTGATCAAAAATCTGCATGCCCTTAGTTCTTAATACTGTGTATTGCCCCCTTTAGCATTGTGCTGTCACAATAGTTATATAAATGATACAATCCATAGTCATAGTTAATATTCATACAAATATTAGATGATAATTTATAGTTTATTTTCCCTAAAGGGTTATTAAACCCTATGCAGTTTTTGCATATATCGACTGCTGGCAAACAGTCGATATATGCAAAAACATTTTTAAAAAAAAAACGTTGAATAAATACCACCAAAAGAAAGCTCGATCTGTCCCCAAAAAAGGGTATAAAATTCATTTCAGTACAGCGCTGCATGACGGAATAAATGTCAGTCAAAGTACCGCAGCGCTGAATACTGAAAAATGGCCTGGATGGGAAGGGGGTTTAACACCGCGGATGTCAACTGGTTAAAAAAAAAACAAAAAACATTTTTTACCAAAAAGAGCCCGGAACGCATCAAAAAGGCGTCTAAAAGACTAGCGTGCGTGTGCAGAAACCTGACCGGATCTGCTCTGCATTTGGTGTGAACAAGGCCTAACAGACTCTTTGAATATTTATACACAGACACTAACTGCAATTTAAAAAGCCACAGATGTGGTCATTTAACCTTTAATTGCCATTTTAACCTGTGTGTGTCACCTTGTGCGTCTGTAACAAGGCAAAACATTGCAGGGTGTGTAAACTTTTGATCAGGGCCATTTGGGTGATTTCTGTTATCACTATGATTTAAAAGGGAGCCAAACAACTATGTGATAATAAATGGCTTCATATGATCACTATCCTTAAATAAATTTAAAAAA